TTAACAGCAACAAATCCCTGATGGCAGTGGCAAGCTATAATCAAGGCAAAAACATTAAAATAATGTCTGTAAAAGCTAAACAACAAATGAAGTAGTAGCAAATTTTATATCTAACTCAACTAGCAGCACAGATGTGAAATTGTAAACAAGAAAATATATCAGATGAAAGACCAGAAATCCTACAGAGTAGTTATTCATGTAGCTAACTCAGCTATTTCGCAGATATAAAAAGTGATCTGTACTATTTATTTGCAGTGTTAATGTCATGAATCACTGCAGCTTGATATGCTTTCAAGAATATTGGGATCTTTTGTTCAGAAAGATATGACTATTCTGTTAGCACTTTCTTTTCCTCTTGTTCCTTTTGTCATGTTAAGAGTGAATGTTTTATGTTTTTTATACAATTAAAAACCCCATATGAAATATTGTGCCATGTAGCTAAGTTGTTGGGTAACCATCTGACAACATCAGAAACAAATAAAAGTCTGGGGTTTTCTTTACAAAAAACAACACGCCCCCCCCCAAGTAAGCCAAATCAGCCATCTAAAAAAAAAGGAGCAAAGTTGAGCATGATGCAGATTTTTGTTAGCATGTGAAATGCTGCACATTACTGTAAGTGAGATCTCTGTTACTAAAAGGGGTGGCCAGTCCACATAGATTCAATTAACAATAAATAAATAAATAAAGAGAGATCTCTATTTGGCTGGTACATACATTGGTATGTTCTGTAAGGGCCTGAATCCGATCCTGTTCCAAAGCCCACTGAAGTTAATAAACATCTTGCTACTGTGCTGTCTCATTTGGAGTGCAGTGGGTTAGTAATGATGTTGAGGACTGTGGTCACTGAATCATTGTCTGTGTTTATATGGAGGAGCTTTGGTTTGTTTTTGAGATAGGCTGGCCATGTAGCTAGTGGCTCTGTCCCTCTGCAAGGCCATTCATAGCATCTGATGAAGTAGGCTGTCACATATGAAAACTTAAGCCTTTATGAATGAGCTGGTCTCTAGGTGCCACCCTGCCCTGCCTATTACAGTGATGTGACTCTGTGGGGAGTGGTCCCTCTGTAGACTAGCTCTATTGGTGCTCTGTGGCATAAGAGAAATTATTTTCTTCCCCCATGCCATACCCTTGTGCAAAAGCAGTTTGCTGTAGCTCTGCAAAGGTTGGAAAAGATTTAATCCATAAGGGTTACATTTACTGAGCTGCGACAGCGTAGGTTCTACTCTGGTACAGCTTCATTGTTTTCAGTTAACCCCTGTCACTGCTAATGAAGGTGATGCACACATCTTCAGACTCAGAGTTCAGGCTCTGCAAAATCAAGAATGCTGCCCTCCAGATATCTCTCTTGAGCCCATATGTTAGTCCTTGTTGATTTGAGTAATCCCAGGATTGGGTGCTTTGCAGTACTATCAGTTTAGAACCCAGAAATGTTAGTTTTTATTAGACTATTGCTCTGGGTTACTACACAGATGTGTAAATAGATATTTTTGTGCATGCGGCCACCCCAGTTACACACACATTATTGTAATTGCTCAAAAATTGGTGATGCATAATTGGATCCTGTTTTTAATGTGCAGAACTTTATCCTGCTGCCTTAAGAATGTGGCCCTCAGAGAATTGTGGGAGGAGGTAGGTCAAACTCTGTGCACCTCCCCAGCGACTACAGTTAAAAAAAAAGGCTGAGCTCTATCTAGCTTTTGTGCATGTAGCGTTCCCTTCAAAAACATCTTGCTTATAAGACAAAATAATTTGTGTCCATCTCCATAACAGCACATATTAGCACTCATGATTTAGTAGCAGTAACTAGTTTGCGAACCTTTTCATAATTAGTCTTTGTTCCCGTACAGTGTGGTGAACTGCTGTAGCTAGGGGTGGTGCACTGGGGTATTTGGGAGTCTCCAGGTAAAGACTCTGTGAACAAACAGAAAGAGAACAAAGTAGCCTTACTTCGCAGAGAGAGAAATTGGTCATTGATTTCCCTTCTTGCCAGTCCATGCTGATTTGTTCTGTTCACATCCATTCTTCAACAACATGACTGCAAAAAAGAGTCAGTCTAGCGCAGTAATACCAGGATTATAAATCAATCACAGCTATTGCCTTCAGAGGCCAAAGTCAGTATACAATCTCTGACAAGCCCTAGGCTACACTGCTGTTTGTGTTTGCCTGCTTGATTATTTTGTGGTGATGGGGAGATCAAGGACTGAAGGGATTTTTTTTTAATAGACCTTTTGTGCAGTGGGTGAGTTAGTTGTTGTATACTGCTCAGCAGTTAGAAACTGGAGCATAAGGTTTTTTCAGAGCTTGATTTATTTACTGTAGACAGCCAGGTTCATTGATGCAGGTCACCTGCTCCCCTACTCCCTACCTGGGAGATCCCAGCAGCCACCTTTGGCTGAGCTGGAGGCGGAGAGAATCTCTTACAGGCAACGGCTAAGAGCATGTAATTGCCAGAGGACAGACAAAGAGCAAAAAGGGTGCTGAAGTCATCATCACTTTTCAGTTGCTTGATTCAGAAGCAAGGCTTAGATTTGTCATCCCCAAGAATGCAAATATCAAACTTCTATAGGAAAAAGATGCAAAACAAAACAACAACAACAAAGGTCACAGGGGAACATTGTTTTGAATTAAAATCTTCTTTACGTTTGCAATTAAAAATATTGAAAACAGTCGATACAATTCCACTGTCCAGGGCAGAGTCCATTGAACTCAATAGCAATCTTCCAGTGAGCTTGGCACAGGCTCAGATGAAACCAAGTCTGCAAAATTATAGGAAAACGGCTTTCTCCTTAGTAAAGGATTGACCAGAATTTGGTACAGAAAAAAGCCCTAAACACAGTACTTTTCGTCACAAACATCACAGCTATAATAAACATGTATATCTACTCAGGAACTAGTTTCACAGGAGGAAGTTACAGACAGGTCTTTCTGATCTTTGTATCTATCAGTTCATCTGCATTCTCTATACTGAAACAAAATTGTTCTTTTCTGTGTATGACCTGAGGAAGAATGTCTTGCATTTGAAAGCTTGTCTAACTTTATCCCAGCTACATAGTTAGTCCAATAAAAGATATTACCCGAAGACATCCTTGCCTAGCGCATAATTTCTGGACCATCACAGCTACATCACTTGTACACTACCTTAGACATTAAGAGGCATTTCAGTAGAATAAATTGTTCTTCTCTCTAGTTCACTGATAGGTTGTATGACCCCTGTGCACCTGATAATTTATCTTATACCAATTGAATTTGGTATCCTTGGAAACAAAAAGGTATAAATACAAGGTTTAGCTATATTTTATGCTGCTTAATGTTACCACCATAATGGCAGGGTCTGAAGATTAATTCCAAAGTTTCAAGGAATGGTCAGCATTCAACATATCAACAGCCAGATGTAGTCAGAGCTTAATAGATACTGGTAAACAAAAACAGGAAAAATGTGGGAGGGGAGTCACCATTTGGCGATACAGGAAGGAGACAGTGACCTTAGGGTTAAAGTAGTCCTCACTGCAGTCTAGCCAGCCCTCCCTCAGCCATACTCCTTGCTACTTTAGTAGTCCCCCCCCTGCAACTCTGGTGGTCTCTGTCACCACTAGCTCCCTTCAAAAAAACCAAAAACCTAAATACCCCATTTTTAAACTCTAAAATGGACTGGGGCCTTCCAGAGCCCAGGAAGTTTGAAATGGGTTTCCTAGAAGAAGGTCCCAGCTTTCAGGAAGTAAGGATACTTCCGAAGTGTGTACACTGACCCAAAGGCATTATTTCTAGAGATAGGTTGAATATAATTTGAACTAGGCTGTTTGGTGGCGGAGGGAATCTGGGTGCTCAGCTGCTATTAATTTCCAGGCAATGGAAATACTTTGAGAATCTGTCCCTTAGTGGCCATAGGACTTTTCATTGACTACTCTGATATCAAATAAGATGTCTTATAAAGACATCTATGCTTCCTTCTGCTTAAGGCTGCAGAGCAATAGCATTTCTGTAAGGGCACATGCCACTGGCTACAGTGTGCCTCCAGCACACTAGCCTGACAGGCCCATTGGCTTGGGTAGACTCTTGCTTTGAAGTGAGGACACTTTGAGCAGATTCTGTAATTGCACCTGAGTCAGCCACTTGATTTGCGAAGTGATGAGAGCCATGCAGATGGGGGGGTTGTAACCATGCAAAGCAGAGAATTGCCAGGGCATCTAAGATATGAAATTACCAATCAAAGAAGCATCATTATTATGATTCACCGCTGTTCAAGTGCTCCAAGGTTAGTTATTTACAGTTTGTAAATAAAAAGATCCAGAGAATTGTGCTAATTTTCTAGTAAGGCAGCTGCCGGGGGGGTGGAATTATTCAAACAATTCTCTGCCTGCAAAGGCTGAAGGGGAAAATTGTGGTGATTAAATGAGATGGCCAAAAAAACCACATCCTCCCCTCAACAGGAGTTTGAGCTCTGTGTTTTGATTTTTTTGGGAATAGTCATGTCTATAAAGAATTTAAATAGTAAGTGATTGTTAAGCATGTTATCCCCCCATCTGAATGACAGAGTACACAATATTATAAATTTACTTTAAAACTGTTATTACTAGTTACAGGCCAGAGGTATAAGCAGGCTATATTGCTCTCAGAAAACAGTCATTTATTAAAAAAACTCCAGATTCTTTATTAACACTTTATGAAATGTATGAAAGTTTCAGTGAAGCGTGATTTGTCATTCTTTCAGCAGCCCGGTGCTTTGGATGGCATGCCATACCGAGCTCACTACAAGACTGGGACACTACTCTGGTGTCCTGACAGGTCGATGAGGCAGAGTTCCTTCTCAACATCAGTTACTCTGCTTTTTAATGGCCCATCTTGGGTACTTTCTGCTGTGATCACTAGCTACAAAGAAAAGGGAATCTGCATACATCATACACACAAGCTGAAGTTTCTATTTCCTTTTTCTTTGTTGATTCTCTGAGTAAGTCTTTCCTGTCTTTCTTTTCTGTTTCCTCCTCCTCTTTCCCCCGACCTAGGGTGAATGCTCCCAGAAGTGCTACGACATCTTTGTGCTGGAGACCGTTTGCGTGGCCTGGTTTTCCTTCGAGTTCCTCCTGCGCTCTATTCAGGCAGAAAGCAAATGCGCCTTCTTGAAGACCCCCCTCAACATCATCGACATCCTGGCCATCTTGCCCTTCTACATCTCTCTCATCGTAGATGTGGTCTCCACCAAGAACAGCGGCAAGCCTGGCAGTGGTGCTGGAAACAAGTACTTGGAACGCGTGGGCCTAGTTCTGCGCTTCTTGAGGGCCTTGCGCATCCTTTACGTCATGAGGCTGGCACGGCACTCGCTGGGTCTGCAGACGCTGGGCCTCACCGTGCGCCGATGCACCCGGGAATTCGGACTCCTGCTTCTCTTCCTTTGTGTTGCCATGGCACTCTTTTCTCCATTGGTTTATTTGGCCGAAAGAGAACTGGGAGCCAAGCAGGAGTTCACTAGTGTTCCCACCAGCTACTGGTGGGCTGTGATCTCTATGACGACTGTTGGCTATGGAGACATGGTGCCTCGTAGCATCCCAGGACAGGTGGTAGCCCTAAGCAGTATCCTGAGTGGGATTTTGCTGATGGCTTTTCCAGTCACTTCCATATTTCACACTTTTTCCCGTTCCTACACGGAGCTAAAGGAGCAGCAGCAACGAGCTGCAAGCAGACTGTCGTACCAGCAGGAAGAAAGCCTCAAATTCCAAAACGGTGATAGTTCTCAGGAAGTGGAGACCTCATCCCCACCCGAGGTTGAAGAGGGGCCTCCACCAACACTGAAGCAGGACCCCAAAAGGAGCTATTGAGTGCAAACAACTAAAGACTTAAAAACAGCCGCACTGAAGTAGTGGACAGGAGAGGCGTTCAGCTCTGAAACAAAAAAACCTATGGAACTGTGTCGATAAGGGTGTACAGTGAGGGCTGGGTGGTCCACGCTGAGTGGTCCTTTGTCCTACAGAGCTCTCTGCAGTGTCCATTCAAATGATAATGAGTAGTCTGCTCCATCTTTAGTAAAAAGCCACTTCTATTAAGCAACTGATTTTTTTGTCAGCCCCGAGAAGCAATCGCTCAAGGTGGAGAACCACTGGATCCAATAACAAGAAAAAAAATATACTGAAAAACTGAGAATTCCCCACAAGGGCCCAGTTCAGGGAGAAGCTAGGATACCCTTCACTGTTCGTTAGCTTTCTGGTGACAACAATGGAGCCGTGTGGAAGCTGAAGAAACAGGCTGGACTTTGTGCTTGGGCGTTCCCCCAAGCCCTTGTTTCCTATGCACAATGGATTCATTCTGTACAACACCCCCATGGGGTAGAGGCCAAAAGTTTAAAGGCGGGGCAAGAAGTAGAGTGGCGGGAGGGGTAGGGGTAAGGGAGGGGAAGGATCCTGTCTGGGCCATCAGAATGGCAAATGTATCCTTGTTCTCTTATCCTGTAATAGAGATTTTTTTAATGCTTTTTCTTATCAGGAACCAGTCTGGGCTGCTCTCCGATAGGTTTGCCTTGTGCTTTAGCTCTCTATACATTATTTAGTAAACCTGCATCTTCAGCGCTTTGTATCCTAGCCCTGATGACAGGTGTATACATGGACAGCCTTGCTATCAGTGGTGTTGAATGTCACCTTGCTTTCCTTTGTTCCTTTGTTCAGATCTGAATGTAACAAACATCAGACAAATGTTTTCACTTTCTCTTTGTTGTTCTACCGTCCTCTCACCCCTCATGTTTTAAAGACTGTTTAATATTGCAACAGAACTCAAAGGCACCAGCCCAGGAAGCGGAGGGTCAGGGTGGAGGTGGGAAAGCAGTAGTAGCTGCAGGGACTTCATACCTGGGTTGTCTTCTGCATTGGTGCTGTGTCTTGACTGTAGCTGTGCACAAAAGGATTGATCTCAAGGCAGTGAAGTCACTAGGAGTCTTTCCATAGACTTCAGTGGACCCTCGATCAAGCCTCAAAAACAAAGAGTTATTACACCCTACGCAACAGCAACCAATCTTTTTTTGGCAACCTGCCCAAAGTTAAGTCAATCCAAAATGCTGAGAGAATGCCTCTCTCATTTAGTCAGCCACTGTCCTAACCCACGGTTGCTGGATCTGGTCATCGCTGAGATGTAGCAGCAGTGCTAAATTTGGCAGTACCTACCCCCCCCCCCCCCCCCCAATTCCAATGGCCTGCA